GCGAGGCAGGAAACGGCCATTAAACTAAATGATGCATGGGCCTGACTCCAGGCCTTGACCCGTGTGATTGTGAGCAAACTCAATCAGTGAGGTCAGCTTTAACGCGAGGTGACTCCTACAGAAAAAAAAGGACGTTTTTGCTTCACTTTCTCTGATTCGGGCTAATAGATTCTGTTAAAACCAGTTAAGAGGTTTGTGGTTGTATCAGTTAACGTGTGTGTGTGTGTGTGTGTGTGTGTGTGTGTGTGTGTGGGTTACAGTGACGGAGAGCGAAGGGGCGGGGGTGGGAGTTTTGGTGTGCTTCGACAGAGTGGACCAGCCCATTAAGGCCCCGGGTATTTTCAAGGGGGAATAGAAACTTGGAGAAGTGCAACACATGTTTGATTCCCAAAGCCCCAAGCACAGTAATTCCTCACATATGAATTACTCACAGATCAAAACCCAAGTTGTACCGGATCACACCAGCTGCTGTGGATTTACAATTCTGCTGATGTACGTGAACAAAGGCAGATAATCCTATAATTAGATAAACGGGGAACTTTTGGGGGATTCTTTTCGCCAAAAAAAGTAACATCTTGCAAAAAAAAAAAAAAAATGCATGCCAAATAGAACATAAAGGATAAATAAATTAGACTTAATGGTCTCGGGTCTGTGTCTGAAACAAGACGAAGCAAAGTACGCAAGTGAGGATGCAGTCGATTGGGAACGGAAACCAGGAGAACCGCTCCCTTTCACTCTAAACCAACAAAATCTGCTTCAGGGAATAAGTGAGATTTTTTTTTTTTTTTTTTTTTTTAAAAACGGGGGCTGAAAAAAAATCCAAAATGAAGCTTTGTAAAGAGCAACAATGGTATACATTATGAGCATTCTTCACTGTGTTGCTATAAAGACTAAATGTATGTGGAGACAAACAAATGTGACGGTTAACTTTTGAAATTTCGACGGTAGGAACCAAAATGGTGGAACTATTGAGAGCTGGTGGGGGCGATCGGTGGGCTGTACAGGTTTGCATCCAGTCAAACGTTGGAGTAAAGAGCCCCCTTCAGGATGTCAGAGGTATTGCCCTTCTAAACGACAAAAAGGTATACTTAATCCTTGACCTTTTTTCACATTTTATCAGCTTACAACCATAGGGTCAAGCAATATTTTGACTGAGATTTGATGTAGCAGACCAACACAATGATGTGAAGAACTGAGAGGTCCTTTTCAAAAATATTCTACAAATAAAAAAATCTGAATAAAGCACAGAATGTATTTTAGTGAGCTGCAATTTTGCAACGTTTGCAAGCATACCTAGCAACATATCTATGTTTGCTAGGTATGTCTCTACCAGCTTTGCACATTTTTAAAATTCTTCCACATTAGTGGAGATCACATGGAGAGCATCTATGAATATCTGACTGGTACATTCCATAACATGCTTTTATACAAACTTTAGCTCTGGCTGTATTTTTGTTTTTATATTTGTTGTCTTCATGGACGGTGAACTTTCACCCAGTCTCAAGTCTTCTGCAGCTCTAACAGATTTTCTTCCAGGATTGTGCCGCATTATCTCTTGCTCAATTAATAATGAGAGCATACTTCCCAAATGTGAACTCTATGTACAAACCAGGTGACGTCTGAAAACGATTGATTGGTTATCATTTACTTTTTATCAGAGTAAAAAGAGAGCTGAAAATTAAAATCCCAATAAGTGTAATTTGAGTTTGAAGTCTCAATTTTCCAACGAATGTTGCAGAAAATCTTAGTTCAACATCTTCAAGTTGTAAAATAAGCAGTTATCATTTATTGCAGAAAAAAATTAACAACTGTAAATAATCAACTTAAACGATGGAAAACTGTTCAAGACGCAACAGCACTTGCCATTTTGGTAACGTGCTACGGCTAAAAAATAAAAAATAAAAAAATAAAAAATCACCGACGCTCTATATTGGTGCTTTGTCTCCCTCTGCAGGTACAACTGAGTAACAACAGCTAAACTTCTGACAAAATCATAAGATATGTAGAGAAAATAAGGAGCTGAGTGAGTGAGAACTTTCAGATTTTGTCGAAAGGTTTAGCAGAATAACTAATAGTGAGAGACAGAAAAGGAAATCTAAGATGTTTTTTTTTGTCTTTTTTTAGATTCAGCATTTTCAACACTACACACAATAGTATTTATTCATCTGCTTAGTCTTTGATTTATTTTTTCTCTCTTTTTTGGCTATGATTTGTTCCAATTTGGACACAAACATGTGCAACCACTCTGACTTTGCATGTCAACACAAAAACATAAATCCTACTCACATAAAACAACTCATCTCCGAGGACATTTATGTGCCTTGTAACGTCGCTAAAAAAATGTAGCTCTGCTTTCTTCTGATCTCGAGGAAGGGGATGGGGGGCTTCGAGATGCTCTCTGTGGTAATCTCTCAAGAGCAGGATGCTCGTTCTTCAACGTGGAAGCAATTTCCCTCTGTCAGCTCCGTCTGGTTTCCCTGAAATTCGCAACAACTGTAAATTACATTTGATTAAAAAGCGGCATGTTTTGATTTACTGGCTCGCCTCCGGCGGTGGGGGGGGGAGGGGGCTGAAGGGGGTGTTCTGCGTTTTATCTGTGAAATCGTACATCCCTGCTGTGAGCAGGAGGTGGTGATAGTCATCTCTAACCAAAACCCCTCAGCCCAGGCCCAGTGTTTCCACCCCCTGCCGTTGCTTATATTAATATAAGTTCCATGTGTTTGCCCTATTAGCGGCTAAATAATGTTGCTGACATTGTGGCTGGGCTTGAAAGCAAACTTGAGCAATGCATAGTTATGGACCTACGTGGAGCACAGGACCTGAACGCATCACCAAGGTCTTTGATGCCTCGGTCCAATTAATGCCCACATGACCTGTTGGAAGAAGAATGCTTTAATTCTTGAATATTTTTCCACCTTTTGTTCCCCCCAAACAAATGCTTAATAAGGCATGTAAATAGTGATCAATAATGAATATTAATCATGTCCTGCTCCAAACTAGATGCCTGCAGAGACACTAAAGGCTTACTTTGAAGAAACCCCCGCAGGTTGACTTGTCAGAAAGGTTTTGTTTTAGCTCTTTGTGTGTGTGTGTGTGTGTGTGTGCGTGTGTGTGTGTGTGTGTGTGTGTGTGTGTGTGTGATGCATTTCACTTCGATCATCTGAAACCTTTTTAACACGAATGTTTGTCCAAAGACAATCTTGTATCTCTTTGGCTGTATTTGTTATAGTAAATATATATAATAAATAGATTAGTCCTCGTTTTGTGTTCCTCGTTTCTTTTCAAACTGACTTTTTCTCAACCTAAATAACTTTACAGTTAAACGACACCAATATTTAGTTCTTGTATGTTGAAGTCCTGATCACGTCTGGGTAAATATGCCCAAGGGTTAGTTTATGATTCGGTAATGGATAGTTAACCATAATCTAACTGTGCATTCGAGATGACTTTTGACATGTACTATGAATGGTAAGTTGATTATTAACAACTTATGGAATGGGAGAGGAACAGTGCAGGATATAATTAGTTTATCTTTAATGATTTCTGTCTTTGCATCTCTTAAATGATTCTTTAGAAACTCCTTTTGTGACAAGATAGTTAAAAGTAAACAACTAGGGGACAGTTTACTGAACAGATTAACTAATCATAGTAACAATTTTTTTAACAAGATTTCCACATTAAGTAATACTTTCCTGGGAGTCAACTAACTAATTCAAAACAGAATCAAAACTTTATGAGATAACAGTTAATTAAGCATTAACTAACATTAATTAATGATTGGATATTAAAAACAATGACATAGGGAATGAATAACTGACTAATTACCTATTAGCTGGTATTAGCCATGTGTTCTAGATCCAAATGGAATCAGGAATTAATCAGGAGGTAATGAATATAAACAGGAGTGGAGGGACTAAATCATTAAGTGATACTTAGTAGTTCGTAGATTAACTTTAATCACTGTTTATAAATGAAAATGGACTCAGGAATTAAGCAACAAGTAATATCTGGGTGACCATTAACTACTGAAATGTTAAAACAAAAGTTAGTTTAGCAGGTAATTCTTTAGATCCTTGTGAGTTTCCGTGTAAATTCAGTAAACTTATTTCCCCGAGTCTGAGGAGTCTTTACATGCCGACTGTGTTTCATTTTTGTTTCTTATTGGCCACAAAATCATTGTGCACCACAAATAAACACACAAAAAGATTAAGAGTCAATCAAGTCAAAAGAAACATATGTGAAAGTCCAAAAATAAGTGTTTGTTTGCAGTAAACAGCTATGCAAGCATTTCCATCAGTAGGACAGAAAAAGAGCTTATCTGACTGCTTCTGAATGTGACTCCATTAAAATGAAGTGTCAATCTTGAGAGAAAAAATAAATAAATAAAAATACAAATAAAACTTTCCATACTCAAGATTCCTCAGGCGATTCCTTCAGTAATCCTTAGTGGAAGATAACGATAAGAAATGCCTTTGCTGTAAATACGTTTTCTGTGAGTTTTTCCTTTGTGTCACCACAAGAGGGCGTAATGTTCAAATACGAACCAGAAAAGTTCAATGACTTTGCAGCTGATGAAAACCAATTAAATGACATTTAATACGGAAATATTGAAAAGTATGCCCATGTCGGGGCTCCTTTTGCATGAATTACTTCATGTAGGTGATGAGTCTGTGGCTCCGGCTGATTAATGGTGACATGGATCAAATGCCCTAAATGTCCTGGAAGATAGTTACATGGACTTTGGACTTTATAGAAACACATTGGACCAACACCAGCAGAAGAAAAACAGTTGTTGTTTTTTTGTTGTTGTTGTTTTATTGGTCATAATATTCTAATTCTCTGATAAAACACTGAATATAGTTTAGAGGTTTTCTTTACCTCTGAACTATAATCATCTGAATACTGAAATACTATTATAAATCTTTATGATTAGTTTAAAAAAAATCAAGTTATTGTGATTAAATAATCTAGCAAAAAAATCAAATCTTTACTCAGATGCAGCTGTAACTGACAACTGGTGCATTTATAGTCGCAGGGTTTGTTTATACATCAGGCTGACTACATACTATTTCTGCAGTCTGGACGAAGTCAGCGGAAAAATGGCCAATGACAAAGAACATCAGTACTAATTATTTTTTATGTTGTAACATTGACATAAAAAATAACTAGTGCATTGAATGACATGTTGCAGTTTTCGCAACAGAGCTGAAACTAAGTCTGCTAACGTTTAAGAGACATTTAGTCAAAACCTAAGGATTATTCGTGTGAATAATTCTAAACGAAACGTGAAAACCACAATGTCTTGAATCGAGATGTGAAGGGAGGGAGGGCAGGGGTGTGTGTTTGATGGGTGGGGATGTGGGGGTGTGCAGGCTCATTCCAGTGGGCTGGTGCACTCCCTTCCATCTCCACAACATTCCCACTTTTGGAGACCTGACCAAAGCGCGTCCGTACTCGGAGCCACGTGTCCCCCCCCCTCCTCCCCAATCCCACCTTCGCCTCCCCTCCCTCCGTTTCCTCTTTTTCTTCCCCCGACCATCACCCTACCAAGCCCTCTTTCAGGCCAGGTGTCAAGAGCGCGCATCGGCCGGGAGATGCAGCGTCTGGTCTGCCGCACACGGACAGCGGGCTCGGAGCTGCCGCAGAGCGCCTCGGCTCCCTCCGGACTGCTTCTAATACTTCTCTGAATCCATATATAAGGACATATTTCTTCATAATCTTTTTTTTCCCCCCAAAAAAAAGAGAGAGAGAGAGAGAGAGAGGGCAAAGCAGGCTGTGTTCAATGCGCAGCCATGCTTCTCATCTCGTCTCGCAGTGCGCTGCTGTCCGTCTACTACCCGCAGATCTTCCTCATCCTCACCAGCGGTAGCTACCTGTACGTTATTCTGAATGCGCATGCTTCTTTTGAATTTGAGGCGCTTTTTATTCCCTGCAGCCTCTGTTACGTGCGTAAATTGTGAGCCAATCACGCACAAAATTGGAACGTCAACACGAGAAACCAACACATATTTTCGACCACGTTGTTTTAAAAAAAAATCTATTTTAGATCATTATATATTTTTTTTATTTTTATTTTTTTTACTTTTACGTCATTTGTTATTGCTGTCATTTTCCTGGGGAATACTTTGGAAAGAACCGGTGGAAAAACGCGCGACTTCTTTTTTTCTCGTTTAGTCATTTTCCTCCTCAGTGGAACACGAGCTGCTGATTTCTCCTCCAACACGCTGGCATTTTCATTCAGAAATTGAGCCATAAAACGGCTGAGTGAAAACTCGATCGAGTGCAGCCAACATTTAATCTGCCGACCAGCTGATGAGATAACCTGCTTTCATGGATTTACACATTGCACCAGAACCACTCTGTCTTGGAAGCACCTCGTCAGAACCGGGCTATAACGTGGGACAGCACCATATGGAAAATAGTTGTATTAAAAATGATTACTTCATGCTCTTTTAATAGGAAGAGGGGCCTTTGTAAGGAGCGTTTGGGACCTAAGGGCCCCTCAATGAGAGTGATTGCTACACCATATTTGCCTCTCATTGAGAACAAGGGCAGGTTCTGCTATGAAATCTATACCATAAACTATAGAGTGCTTTCTGCAGGGGTGGCGATCAAAATGAGCTCAATATCAACTAGCCTGACTTAATAAAAATTATAACCCTCCATCAAAAAAGGGTCCCCTTTCTGTTTTAAGAGAGAATGTTCTCCACATTTTTCTATAAGACTGTTCTGGTAAAGTCTTTTCACAATCCTCATTCCTGCAGGGCGTTGTCCTCCGTGGTGGCCCTGGGCGCCAACATCATCTGCAACAACATACCAGGACTGGCACCCCGTCAGAGGGCACTCTGCCAGAGTCGCCCGGATGCCATCATCATCATCGGCGAGGGCGCCCAGTTGGGCATCAACGAGTGCCAGTACCAGTTCCGCTACGGCCGCTGGAACTGCTCTGCCCTAGGGGAGAGGACGGTCTTTGGACAAGAGCTGAGAGTAGGTCAGTCTAGTCTGGGACTTGGCTCCTTTTTTTGGGGAGGGGGAGGGGTATTTTTATGGTTGCTTTGTGACATTTTAACAGTGGGAGAGCGGTAAAGAAAACATCCGTGGCTCAGGTGGGAAAATCTGTAAACCAAATAATTGTTAGTCGTGCTCTCTGCAAATGTGGTCGTGATGAAAAGGTGGTAAGAAGAATCTTGCCAGGTATGAGAGGTCCGGTTTAAAGTTAAGCACCTGAGTTTAGAAAACATGAGGAAGGAGAATGCTGATCTGACAAGACCAAAATTTGACTTCCTGGCGGAAAACTAACACTGTACCTGTTGGAGTCTATGTTGGAAAAGTCCAATCGAAACCTAATTTGAAACTTGTTGCGAGAATGGACGCTTTTATCCCGTCTGACGGAGCCTGAGCTCTTTACAAAATAGATTGTACATAAATTTCAGTTTCTAAATGATACATACCCTAAACCTATTGGTAACTCTATGGTTGTCTGGTTTACATTACATTACATTAACGTTCCAGAGTTGAAACTTTAAGGGTTTCTTCTCACAGGCGTACATACTTTCAACATTCAACAGAACAAGCTCAAATGCAAAGTTTTGAAAGATTTCAGCACCCAAGCAAACATTTCATCTGAAGCAATATACCAAAGTGAGTGAAGACATTTTTGTGTCAGGCTCATCAGGGTACGGTTTCTTAAGTTCATACCTGTGTAGTCCATTAACACCAACTAAAAATTCACTCAGTTCGACATTCTTTAAAATTTGGACTCCTCACAGGCGCCTCTTTGCTCCTAATGTGAACCTCATTCATAAATTGCTTCGGGTCCAGAATGTTTTGTTGCGGTTTTGCTGTGGGTTTGGATGCATGTTTAATCTAGCAGTTCTGGGAGCGATCACTTTCTGCTGTCTGAAGATCAGTTTTCTCAGAGTAAACAAATTTAAAGAGACACTTGAGAGCCTTTTTTTTTTTTTTCAAGTCCAGTTAAGAAAAACAATTAAAGAATTTATGTCATGATCGATTAAATAAGGTCTTTATCAAAACGGGCTGGAACATTGGGGTTGGCTGTCTAAACCAAGACTACACAACAATCTTGTCCTGTAAGTGATTCTTACACAAGTTTACGATGGCGACCTTTAGGGCCTGTGAATTCATTAGGCTTAGACCAGAAAGATTCATGCAAACCACTAATTAAAGGCAGATCCAGAAGCCGGATGGCAATGATGGAACCCTGAATGCAACGGCATTCATTCAAAACAAATCAGAGCGGGAAGAGATGGCTGTTTGGCCACTGCTTTTGCCTGATACCTTGAGAAATACTCAGCAGCGAACAACTTATCTGAATCGCTCGCAGATTTAGCTTGATGAGGGAAGACTTCAGCGTTTGTGGGGGAACCGCAGACTTGACGGTTTCAACGAAGGAGTTTTTTTTTTATGTTGGAAGGGAGCCATCTAAAGGATACACCATGCATTAATACCCTGGGGTAAACACTCGAAGGGGAAGGATATCCCATATCCCATTAACAACTTTCGCACCAATAAATTAATTTTCCCCCTTTGACTCCATAAACATGAGGCTCTTAGTTATGAAGCTCAAACAGTACATACAGAAAAGTTTGTAAATGGGTTAAGGCCATCCACAGATCATCTGGCTTTGTTACACACCATCATTTGCTGCAATTTCCTTTGTCAGAAAAAGAACAACACTGTATGACACAACAAAGCACAGCAACTCATAGTCCCAGTGCAGAAAGTCAGCCAGCAGATGTCACTTTGTTTCCTTCAGAGTCCTGATGACTGCTTTAACAAGCCAAGCACTAACTCCTGAGACAGAGCCATCTGAGGCAAGACATGCAGAGACAGTCTGCTGCCTGTGTTAAATACTTCTGAGCAATGATCTCAGAGAAGCAACTGCTGCTGCTCATCAATCTGTGGAAGGATTAGAAGGCCGTTTAGAAAACAACTTGCATTGCGGACTGCTGTGGTGTTGTAGGCAGCGCTAGTGTTCTCCAAAACCAACTTTTTCTACCTGCCTGTGGTCATAATTTTAGAGCCAATATATGTGGAAAACATTCAGCACAGTTGCCAATGCTTGTGGCTGTTAACATCTACGCAAACTCAACAGCTGAGACCAAGCAACGTTTAGAAAAACTGCTAACAAACCCCAAATAACACTTCCTAGGCTCCAGAACTTGTTTGCACGGTTCACCAGACTCAAGAACAGGACAGCAGAACAAAATGAATCTGAATAAACCACAAGACTTCTGTCTCCTTTAGACCAATGAGGCCAAAGTGGAGATTTTCATAATACGCAGTGCCACATTTGGTGAGTCACACTGTTTAAAGAGCCAGTCATTTTTCCCCCTATTAGGAATATACGACCATTGGTTTTAGTTCCTCAAGACACTACCAATAAAAAAAATAAAATAAAAATACTGACAAAGTGAGCCATCAGAATAACACTGTCCACCCTAACTTCTCAAAAGCGCAGTTGTAATGCACTAAAGCTTTTTAGAGACATTAAGAAATTGTAATAACTTCGTAGAAAAAGGTTATATTGTGTCTACCTTAATGAGAGTGATTTTGCCTCGCATTTAGGCCTCACATTGCCAAAGACACTGTGACATAGGAAATCCAAAGGGGGGGAATGCCTGGCCATCAGCGAAGGGTTTGGAGTGGCTTAGTTATAGTCCAGCTATAAAACCAAACTTTAACGAGGTCGCTCATGCCTAAAAACCCAGAAAAGTGGCCGTGTTAAAACAATTCTGCAAAGTAGATCGAGATAAAATTCCAAGATGTGAAAACGCTCATTGCAAAAGAAACGATTCCGCATTCTCTGTCCACTCATGCAGGTTATATTAAAGTTCAGTGTCTTCATGATGATTCTCATTAACAAAAGTGGCTTCATTGCTTCAAGTCTTTGCTTGGAGCAAAGATTTGAAGTTTCAAGCAATTTTGTACCATAGGACCAAGTTCAGACTGCTTTAAGGTACTGCATATCATTTTAGGGTTATGTGGAAATGCTGGACACTGCTGTGACTGTCTGAATCACTACTTGGTTCAAGACCAAGAATCCCTAACAGTAACCCAAGTCAAAGAAATACCTACATTAGTACTCTAGCCTAGACTCTCAAGTATTTTAATTATTGATTTGTATTCCAGTTCTGTTCTCCTTTCTCCAGGCAGCAGGGAGGCAGCATTCACCTATGCCATTACAGCCGCTGGAGTTGCCCACGCAGTGACGGCGGCCTGTAGCCAAGGCAACCTAAGCCAGTGTGGCTGTGACCGCGAGAAGCAGGGCTACCACGACCGGGAGGAGGGCTGGAAGTGGGGAGGCTGCTCGGCAGATGTCAAGTACGGCGTGGAGTTTTCGCGACGCTTCGTGGACGCTAGGGAGATCAAGAAAAACGCCCGCCGGCTGATGAACCTCCACAACAACGAGGCGGGTCGAAAGGTAACACACTGAGGTCCGATTTGATCAAACAGAAAGAGGCCATTAACGAGAGGTGTGGACTTGAGTCACTTGACTTCAGACTCAACTCGGACAATAAAAATCAGTGACCTGTGATTTTATTTGTGCTTGAGCTTTCAAAAATACTTAATACCTTACACCAAATAGAAAAATTATTTTGAGTAAGTTATACATTTCTTGGGGGAGTTGACTGCCACATATGCCAATTTGCTACGAATTGGGAGATCAGACTCCCAGTGATCTGCCAGATGATCTCTGGAGGTGACTGTTATCCTGAGAAATCTTTGCTTCTTTTAGCTAGATTGTCTGAGAGCTCTCTTTAGTTCCTCTAAACTGGGTGACATAGCACATGATGCAATCATGTCAATACTGACCAAATCCTATGAATGTATCCAATATCTCGCTGATTCTATGCCACAACAAATTGGGGCAGTTCTGTTGGCATAAGAGGAACCAACCTAGGTGTACCAAATAAAAAAATGGCCTCAAGAGTTTAAACTTTCCAATAAGTCTGTACTCAAAAATTTAATTCAAGTTGAAAAATACTTTATTGATCCCAAAGGGAAGTTAAATAAAACATGAGGAAGGAGTAGCTAATGGAGCGGTTCGTTGATATTTAATTTGAAGGAAATGCGTTTTCTACAAACTGTGACTGTTTCTGTCATTGTTATAGAGGGACTGGAATCAGCAAAAGGAGTGGCTCACCCAAGCTCCATTTTTTCAGGAACCGCCACTTACAACAAATGCATGTCTGTGAAGTCAGTTTTTTCCCAAAAAATAGTGAGAAATAACAGTCACATTACGTTTTTTTCCCTAAACAGTCCAATCATCTGTGAAAAGTGTCAACTATTGTTAACTAAAGCTAAGAAAGCATCTTTATTTAGCAACATCATTTACCATTTTGTCACATGTCCTGAATTATTCAGGAATTATTCAGTCTGGCGTCAAGTTTAATGGGCTGCCTTTTTCTAGTGGTTTAAATTAAATACTCATTTCATTTGTTACTCCCATTTTTTCAATTTGGAATCATAAGACTCAATGTTTAACAGGGAGAGCCATCACTTGAAACTGAATTCATCAAACTATAATGCCATACTCATTGATCCATCTATCCACCCATGTCTTCCGCTTATTTGAGTTAGTTTGTGATTTATCATGTTCAAGATGGAGAGCAAGAAATCCTGTTCCAGATTAACACTCTTCAGTTCATTCTGAGGAATCCTAAGGGATCAGAAAGGGCTGTAAAACCTCCAAAGGAAGCGACATAGAAGGCATTCAGATCAGATACAAGAACTCTAACTTTATCTCTAAATCTGATCCCAGCCATCCTTACAAATGAAGCTTGTTTCAGTTGCTTGTATCACTCATGATTTGTATCACGTAGCCACAGGTGAAGGGTAGAACATGGACCAACTGTAGAGCCTTTGCATTTTGGCCCATCTTTTTCTTCACCAAGAGAGACGGAAAAAGATTTGCTTTTCCTGCTTGGTTTATCCATCACTCGTGAACAAAGCATTCAAGTCAAAGCAAAGAATATTCTAGCAATCCTCCCTCTATTCCCTTCTCAGCGACCGCATGCCTGCATACGTGCGCGCGCTGATCTATCTGGAGTCGAGAACCGCTTCCAAAACCTTGATAACCCACCTCTGATTTGAATAATGATGTGTACGAACAAGGAGCTCTCTGTTAAAAGAGCTTCAGTGACATAACAGAAAAAATATATCATGTGTGGATCTTGATCAAAGGAGGCTCCCCCCTCCCTTTTTACACTGAAATCAATCACCTGTCTATTTTGTCATGTGAATGCATTTATAGGACGTTATAATGTATATCTGACTCAAACCACCATGTAAGAGTATACACATGTAGAGTTACGCAACAGTTCTGGTCAGTCGACTCCTGTCACTCCGTTCTGTGGTTTGAAGAAAGGTAATGTTAATTAGAGACTCCAGCTCGGAGCTACGAGCCTTTTTCCCTGGACTTTTTGACACAAAGTTGGCTCGCCAGCTGCTGCGCTGAAAGTTAAAGTGGTCGCAGAAATCCCAGCTCCCCAAAAAGAGACAGGCCTGACTGTTTACAATGACGTTACATTTACCTTGCACAGGGTTTATAGTTTTACATTCGAACTCAAATGTAAAACTTTTTAAAACCATTATCAGTACAACTTAAGATGCATATCACAGCAGTGATGTACAAAAGAAATACAGGGGACCAAAATTATGAAATTGCTTGGGCCTTTTTGTGGCTCTTGGCAGCAGCTTTGTGCTTCTCACATGGCATAAAACTCTCTAGCAAGCTAGCAGGCATTAGCAGCTTGTTACCAGTAGCCTTTACCACCTCGAGTCAGAACATAATGAGTGAAGATGTTTGTGCGTGACTCAAACTTTTATCTAATAGAAAGATCACATGAGAAGGATCTACATAAAATGTGAAATTAAATAGTCTTGCCACAACAAACTTTAAGACATGTGATTAACATATTTAAGGTGATCTTACATTTTCTTTAATCGAATTAAGACACCTCAAGCCTTAAAGTTTAGACTAATGAATTTAAGACTCATTAAGGACGCGCAGATGCCCTGCTGTTAGTTTTCTTTCTCCAAAACATGCTGAGCCTTCACTCTCTGTGTGAGCAGATCCTGGAGGAGAGAACGAAGCTGGAGTGCAAGTGTCACGGCGTCTCCGGCTCCTGCACCACCAAGACCTGCTGGATCACTCTGCCGAAGTTCCGAGAGGTCGGCTACCTGTTGAAGGAGCGCTACGGCGACGCGGTGCAAGTGGAGCCTGTCCGGGCCTCGCGGCTCCGCCAGCCCTCCTTCCTGCGCCTGAAACAGGCTCGAGGCTACCAGAAGCCCACGGACACGGACCTGGTGTACCTGGAGCGCTCGCCGAACTACTGCGAGGAGGACACGATCACGGGAAGCACGGGGACGAGGGGCAGGCTGTGCAACGGCACTTCCACTCACACGGACGGATGCAACGTGATGTGCTGCGGCCGGGGCTACGACACGCACCACTACACGCGGGTCTGGCAGTGCAACTGCAAGTTCCACTGGTGCTGCTTCGTCAAGTGCAACACCTGCAGAGAGAAGTCGGAAGTTTTTACCTGCAAGTAGGCGCAAGGAAACGGGGACTCGGAAAAGGAAGGGCCTTAAGATATTTATTACATTTTGCACATTTTGGCATTGTATTTCTAAAGAAACAGAAGCTCAAGCTGAATTTGAGTGGTGGAAGTCACTGGGAGCAACAGAGACAAACAACTTTGCAAAGGTTTTCAACTTTTTCACATGAACATATTTTTTAGGGATTTTCAGTGATAGACCAACAATAAGTAGTTAGGTGACTACCAGCTTTGCACAAGCATGAAAACATTTCTTTTTTTTTATTTTGCAAAAAAGCTACAAGTTAGATTGAATAGAGTGTGGACAGTAATTTTCACAACTTGGAAAAAAAATTTTTTTGTTGGATTTAGAGCTGAACTTTGACCGGACCACTAACAGTTGCTGTAGTTCTGGTTGTATATACTTTTACATGGAAAAGTCTACATACAATTTTCTTTCCACTTCACAATTAACACATTACTTTATGTTGGTCTATCGCATGAAAACGCTAAAACATATTTAGGTTTGTGCCGATTATTTTTGCTTCCATACTGGTGTTAGAAGACATTGCAGTACAAAGACAAATTTTTGGCATCGAGTGACGGCTGTTGGTTATTATTTTTAACATTTATGTTCAGGGGAACATAACTCAGAAATGTACTTTGGACTGCCCTGGAAGAAGCCTCCACACGCGACCCGAAGAAATGGCAGCCAAGCATCTTCTCACACTGTATTCTGTTTAAACACTGAGAGAAAAAATTAAAACTATTATTTATGTAGAACATCTTGTAGCTGGGCATCTCATACCACTCAAACATATTTCCTTCACATTGATCCTCATTTGTTATTTAAAATGAACTGTACCTTCTTTGGCACATTCAGACAGTCACGTTGCGCTATACTTTGCCTTAAGTTTTACACTAAGGGCCGGTGTTGAACTGGCACATTTTACACATAAATCACCATCCCAAGGCCAGATGGGTTTGTTCCGCCAACAAATGCATTGCTTTAGGAATCCAACCTGTGTGTCTCAACGGCCCTCCATCCTGACTGCGCTCATTGTCTGGCTGCTGGACGAGCCGGAGCTTAGCAGAAAACCACGCAAGCCTCGTTGGGAAATCCACGGAGGAGCGATTGGGTCCAGAAACATCCAGGGTAGCCGCGAGCAGGCCGAGACGAAGAGTCCCACACGGCGGCCTCTGCTTACACAAAGCCTTCCAGCGTGGTTTAGGCCTGCTCAGGCAGATGGCATCGGACCGAAACCACATGGAGAGAGAGGGGGGGAACGCCAAAGGTTTGCCATTTCTGGACAGCACCCTTAATGTATTTACACTTTTGTTGTTGTTTTTAGGCTTTGTATGAGTTTCAAAACAATTGGAAGAATATATTTTTATATAAGGAACGTGGCACTTTATGTCATTTCTAGCTGGAAAGAGTGTTTCTTATTCATGTCATTTTATTCATATTTGAAAGCTATAACTTATTTGGAATTGATGTTATTTTGGAATAAAGCTCCTGAAATGGAAATACTCGACTGTACTTGGAGGGACTTGTCCACTTAAAACGGGAGTTTAACCTTCTCAAGACGTCCACAAAAGCTGAGTTACGTGATGTTATGCCAGAGACGTTTCCGGAAACATTACTGGGACATCTCAGTCATTAAAAATGCCATTGAAAACTAGACTTATGTCAGTAATTTAATTCAGAAAATAGAAACTCATATTGCATAGATATGAGATATGACACTGTTAATTTGGATAATTATTTTCATAATTGAATTTCGCAGACAATTATAAGACGGATAGCATATTTTTAAAACCCTCCACAACAAGGGTAAGCTGCTAAAGTGATTGCTGAATCCAAGCATATTCATAGAAGGTTGAGTGGAAGGTAAACTACACGAGGAAGGAGGATAACAATATATATCTTCCAATATGTTGGATAACAACAGCCTTACAAGGCATTGGAAGCCTTACAAGGCATCGAATGCAGCTGCTTTCTAATCAGAAAGGGCGTCAAGAGGAGTTTTGTCTGTGCTAAGGAGAAAAGGACTGCTCAGTGGTCCAAATTTCCTACAGAGCAACTCTGGAGGATAAGAGACATTATAGCCAACAATGCAGACGACAAGGCTGTTGCTGGTAAAACTTAACACCTTGGCAGAGTGAAGCTGATCGCCTCCATGCCACGCCGGACTGATGCAGTAATTCATGCAACTCCGTTCTTTTCTTGCTACAGAGGTTTTTGTTTTGTTGAACTTTGTTTCTGCCACACCATTTCTTCCACAAAATTTTCCATTTGAATTCTTAGATGCATTGGCTTCTTTAGCATGGACCTTTTACCCTCCTTGTGAAGGGAGTCGCTGGCTTTCCTAAAGACTGTGTAGATCAAAATACAACATTTCTACATTAACAGATTTTCTGTCATATTCCTGTTTCTTGTAGAACTGAATTTGGGGGTTTTACCAAAGCACACAAGCTTTTCAACGATATCCTAATTCATTGAGATGCACCAGTAGTTGAAAAGTTTGGAAACTTTAAAGGTTCATAAGGCTTGACAACTAAAGACAAAAAAAGCAATTTTTTAAATTCACACACACTTTATTAGACCTTTTCTCCCAAATTTAAACATGATCTGGATATTATGATGCAAGACAATCTCTGTAGGCTTCAAAACAGCGCAGTAGAGGTCTGCGATGTAAAATGATGACATGGGAAACGGTAAAATTCTTGCATTGTCTGACTTGGCAGATGAACGCTCGGGTCCCAGCCTTGCCACCTCTTTCAGCCCAGCTGACTTGCAACACAGCCCTCTTTCCTGTGGGGCTGAAAAGCATTGCGGCCGGCCGGTCAAGCGTGAACTGTTATGTTGTTATGTTATGTTAGCCGTCTGAAATCCTGACGACCGGAACCCCGTAAAGCTCCCTCTACTATGCTGCCGGATCGGCGGGGATAGTCCGTCGGATTGTTTCAGCCCATTTTGTCATTAAAAATCGGAGGCAGAGCAAACAGGGTGGAGCAGGGCGCGGGCTGACCCGAATAGCGCCGCATTGTCGAGTTGTCAGAATGGCTCAGCTTATCGAGCGGCACGAGGAGGACAGGAAGGAGTGTCGTTTTGCAAACTTGACACTTCCCATCCGATTCCCCTCGGTCTCCACGCGTTCGTATGATTTACTCTGTGGACATTTTCGAAGCATGCTGTGATTAAACAGAAAGAGCGGGATATAATGACCGCCCATCAAATAACGATAGAGTCAAATATGAGTTGCTCTGCCAAGAGACGTGCTGTATGAATTTGATTTTAATGAGATGGTTAATGATTTATGATGCATGCCATCAGCTTGTTATACATGGAGGACGTAGTGGAAATCCCCACTATCAAGGAATAAACTCTTCAGTGCCAAAGCACGTAGAAGTGCAGTTATAAACTTATGTTAGGAAATTTTGTTTTTATCAATCTATGTATATATATCTTAAAAGCATGCATATGGACAGATGTTTTTTCAGATGTGCAAAACAGAAATCTTGAATACTTAAACGCAAAACAAAAGTTTCAGAAAAGACAACAGCAGTTTAGAAAAATGACAATTACTGGAACAATAATCTAAAATTGTCATCTTGTCTTGCAGTTGCACAAGCTCACACTGAAAAAGGGGGGGGGGCAATAACTTATTGAACCGCTGTGGATAATCACTGGAGATAAGTTTGAGAGTGTGTTCACACCAATTCCGTCTTAATCAAACTCTAGTCCGTTTGCGTAAGAAGGTTCGGTTAATTTGGGGAGATGTGAATGCGCAATGAAACTCTGATCCGAACCAAAAATTGTGAACTCTGGTCCACCTAAGAACAAAGCGGATTAAATCGGAGGGATAATACAATCAAAACAAATGCGGGAGACTAGCGCTAGCGACAGAAACGGCTCCTGGTTGTTTACCAAAGACAAAAGAGAAATCCTACAAGTGGAAGTTACGCTGCGTATTGTTCAGAGGTTTCTGTATCGTTTCCTTCAGTGATTCTTGTTGCAGCGCCACCACAAGGAAAGCGGTAAAACAGGTTTTTCAATTAGTTTGGATAGTTTGACACAGAGCAGTGTGAAAGCGAACTGCACCGGCTGAAAATGCAACAAATGTTACACTTTGGTCTCCAGTTGAACTAAAGCTACTGGTCCATCAGGTGTGAAAACACCACATGATTTCAGGGTCCTCTTTTAAGATTTCTTCTTGTCAGTCCACCCCAAAGCTTTTCTGTTGAATTCAGGTTAGATAGTTGTAGCAGAAGATACATTTTTGTCTGGTCAATCATTTCTGTGGTGATTTGGCTGCATGATTTAGATTCCTACTCTACAAAATGAACCAATAATGGTTGATTTTTTTAAGTTTGCAGTTAAGAGTCCACCACATTGTTATTTAAAATCTCCTGCTGTTCCAAAGACAAGGAACCAGTACAGGATTACTAGGAAAATTTAAAACAAAAAACAAAAATCACAGGCCTACAGCTTCACAGATCTACCAGTCTTCTTTGTCACAGTCTTTTTGGGATCTGGACAAAATACTGAAACACAATTGCATACACTACCAAAGCACAAAGTCTTGCAAAGTGTTTTTGGTCTAGTTTCTAGTGCCAATACCTTAGTATACTTGAAATGAGACAAAACTAACTTACACATAACTTTCCAGTGAGATAAAGGAGCTTGTTTTGAGTAGAAAGAAAAAATTGTTCCACTGAAATTATTTAACTTAAAGACACAACATTTTCCTCATAAGTAAAACAAATCTTCCAGTAGAACTAGTAACAAGATATTATTTGTACCAGAAACTGAACCAAAAATACCTGACAAGATTCGGTGTTTTTGCAGTGTAAGACTAATTGGGTGAAATATCTGGTAGACTTTTAACACAGCATTTAAACTCTGCTTACATGTAGCATATTCTGTCAGCTTGATTTTACTTAAATTTTTTCAGTGAGAATATGGTGCTGCAGTAAATGATGAATTTCTAAGCTTCTTACACGTCTTTACTACGGGTGCCAAGAATCTATAGGTTGCTATGCTTTTGTTAATTTTTTTTTTTTTTGGTCGATTTCTGAAAAAAAGAGAGGGAAAAAAAGTCTACGATTATGATGCATTTTCCACTTCACAGTCACAGCTTCAAGTTTTATTCATGGATTAGATGTTTTCTCCCTACAATCCTAATAATAGGTCTAGTCGGACACGCAGTTATTTTAAGCGGTTTAATAAGCAGAGCTTCATCCTGCGGCCATGATATTTTAATTAGGCGAGGCCGCGAGGGGGTAGATTACATCACGTTTCAGACATTCTCTTTCATGGTGACGGCAAAAAGCCACGTTTGGGCCTGAGATTAAACACCAGCTCCTGCTGGTAACCCGAACCGTGTTTGAAAACCCAGAAAGCCTCGACCCCGCAGTGCTCTTGTCTTTGGATTAAACCACAAAACATCGGCGTCTCCGAGAGGTGCCAGTGTGTGTTTGCCACTCACCAACTCCTCATTCCCCAGACTTGGAGCTCCTGACATCTGTGTCTATAGCATGCAGATCTCGTAGGGTTTCAGTCAATGTGGAATAACTTTGGAGAGGTAGAAAAGTTCATCGTACAGACTTTTCTGACTTAGGTATTGCGAGTAAAAGCATCTCTACTGGGTAAATGCACATTTCTTTAGCTGCTCTGCTTTAAAACCTGCTGACGGGTCGAGAAAACCTTCATCTTCCGACATCTTTAGGAATCTTTCCTCACGGTTTTGAGCAGCAAGCTTCCATCTCGCTCCTCAACGAGGAACCCCAGCTCCCTGAGTGCCGAGTAGTCCACCGGGCCGCGCCTCTCCAGAGCAGCCACTTGCTCCTGGTTCTGCTGGTTGTTTTCCAGAAGGTTCCTGATGGCGAAGATGGCCCACTGGCTGATAACTTAAGGCAGTCGGTTAAGGGAAGACAGAAGACGAACTTTAACTAAGATTCTTCTCATGTCATTTTGTTTGTTAATATACAGTGCCTTGTAAGAGTATCCCTATCCCTTGAATATTTCTGAATTTTGCCACATTATAAAAAAATAATAATAATACGTCGGTGGATTTTAAGTATAGAGTTTTTTTAGGATTCCCCCCAATTAAAATTTAAGACTTTTTAAGACTAGTAGTAGTGTCGAGGTTTTTTTGAACAGAATGAAAGTAGAATCGTACAACTCGGCAACAGAAGTGAGGCAGTCGCAAAGATGAACGGTGTCCATAAAATTGATGAGAAATTTACACTTAACCAAAATAGACACAAAAAGTTAGCAGCAAGTTAGCAGTAGCCTCAACTGCCTAGAGTCTCAGAAGTCTAGGCGGTTGTGTACAACTCAAAGAAAAGTCAAACAAGAAAAATAACCTGCAACATGAGATAAAATAGTCCTGCCACCACAAAACTTAAGACCTGTGATTAATGTGCTTAAGGTCAATAAGAGTTTCGATCCAAGACTGTTAATATGTTTTAACTTATTGCTAAATAGAAGGGGCAAAAAAATTTCCATCTGCAAAACTCATAGATGTACCCGGAAGGATTTGCTGCAGTAATTTCACCAAAAGCTGGTCCTACCAAGTATTGACTCAATGAAGCCAAATCCAAATACCTGCAACATTTTGCAGATTGTTTAAGCAGTAAAAATGATTAAGATCTTCACACTGTCTATTCCCAAAAGAATGTGAAGTATTCACTTACCAAAGTGCAACATGTTTCTGCTCTGTGCAGGTATTGAAGAAATTATCTCCGTCCAATCGTCGTCAAATTTGGGCTTTTTTCGTTGTCAAACTAAAGTTTTGAGTCGCCTTTTTGTTCATTTTAAGGGTTTACTCGGTTGGCTTCAAATGCCAGAATCTTTACAAAGTTGAAAAATAAAAAATAAAAATAAAAAATCAAACACATATTTCTTAGTTAGAATTCTTCATATCTCGCAATTTTTTTTTCCAGATTTGAAGAATTATGGCAACCCTGAACATGGTACCGCCTTCAAGCACCTGTTCTATTTGATTTTTGATTTTTTTCTAATAAGCTGCAGGATGGATTCAAAAACAGTTTCACAGCTCAGAGGGAAACAATTATTCAAGGAACTCGAGCAAACTCCCCCCCCCAACGCCAATTCTCCAGCTTGGGATGTCAAACTCCTGTCCGCACTGTGTTTGTTTTGGGTCGTGGCGAACACAAGCATCCCAACCCAAACAAACCAGTTTTCCAGACGTGTTTTGGGATCTCAGTTTTCCCACTCTTATGTTTCCCAGATTATTTTTTTTTTGTTGGGTTTTTTTTTTTCCTCCCCCCTTTGCCAATCGTTTTGTTTTTGAAGAGAAACAAGGGCTGACAACACAGACAGGCAGGCAGAGTTAGCACAGTTTACAACAAGTCTGTAAAGAGGGCTGCATGGGAACAAAGGATCCCCTCGGCTCAGACTGTTGGCCTGGTAAAAAGCCAGAATTGCAGAGAAATCCGTTTTAGTGAACTAACAATAGTGGCTGGGTCGACGCCCAGCGCAGTGTAAGCTTACAGTTATGAGACCTGATGCAAACAGTGCAGAGAATGCAATAAAAGGGGCATAAGACGGTTCTGTAAGATCATAGAACAGATGAATACATAAGAACTTTTCAATAAAAAAAAAAAGTCAATTCAGGATAATTTCTGGAGAAATGATTAGATCTCCTTCCCTCCGGATTCAGACCACAGTGGTTGTTTGAACATCGTAGGTTGAAAAAAAATTTCATCTCAGTCTATTCGCCTTTTTTACAGCTATCCAATCATAATGCTACAGTCATGGGAAGCATAGCTGTATGAAATTATCTTTAACCGCCACAAAGGTATGTGTAGATATAATCATGTGTAAAACTATGCAGACCGCAGTAGAGTTTAAATTACTTTCATTCAAATTTGTTTACAGTAAGAAATTACAGAAAAGCTTCAAATAAAAATAAAATAATATAAAAAGGAGTATCTATTTTTTTTAAGTATTATTTTACTTCACATATTTCAAAAAAGAATGGTATGGAAAATACCGTTTTCAATAATCTCTCTAGGCATTACATCGAAGCCTTCGTCAAAATACTGACCAGCTTTTCTGAAACATGTTGCTAAAATGTAAAGATTACATCCAAATCTGCCATGGGATATGAAAAATTTAGGGCCTAATTGTAGATGCCAGCACATTTTCTCCTTTTCCAACTCCGTTTTATAGATTTGCGATGGAAAAATACGTTTTGAATTCAAGCAGCAGCCTCACATGTTCCTTCGGTCTCCCAGCAACCAGCCTATCCACAATTACCAATCCGTATGTGCCAGAAGCCTAATCATGGTGCTGTGTTTACTGTACAGTGGTTTACAGTTTTGGTTGGACCTAGAGCTTTGGCAGGACACCATGTGCATTGCTTCCACAACAATAATAATAAAAAAAGCCCTACAGAAGGTAATGACTAATGGGATCCCGGAGAAAGCTCCACATTCTGGCCGAAGTTTAATGTTGTTATGTGGTAGTCCAGTAGGAAGAAAGTCTTAAAAATTGTATTATATTAGATTCACATGATAATTATATGTCTTGTTCCCCTATGGTACATAGTTAATAAAAACAAAAACAAAAGTGGGAGATCGGTGTAATTATTTCCAAATAAAAGAAAAAGACTAATCAATGCGGCTTTAACATCTGACCACATCTAAAAACCTCTACAGCAGAAATAATGACGAACTGACATTATTTGAAAGTATATCATTTGAAATGTATTGACAGTTGATTGCAACATTTAATCTTCTGTGGGTTTGTTCTCCATGCTGTTGTGCAAGACTTTCCTCATATTTTAAGCCTGGCGGGCCACCAGGCTTTACTTGTGCCCCCACCAGGCTAAGCATTGCTTATTTTTTTTTAAGTCTCTTTAAAAGTTTTCCATTTTTTAAGGCTTTATAAGTTGATGTTCAGGTATAAATCTCCCAATCTTTCAATAACAAATAATTATCAAGTGATATTTTCAAATTTCCTTTCAACTTTAAACACTTTTTAACTCAAAAACATTCCGGTCCGCTGGATGACCAGGCTTAGCAAGTTTTCTGGCATTATATGCATTTTGTACATGTTTTTTTTTTTTTTTTTTACAATTTAACAAGATCTTTCTATGTATAATACAGTGTGGTCTCTCATTCTGAGTGGCATGCTTTTCCACACAGAATAATTAAAGAAAATACTTAGGAAACACGATGGAATGCACATTTTGAAAGGATACAAGGGTTGTTGCTGTCTATGTTGCAGTTGTCCAAGATGAGCGGGATGCCATCCAGTTCCCTTACCTGAGGACACAAATATTTCAACAAATTACATCAGAAACATTTGCTACTTAAATCAACGGGAAAAAAAAGTGTAATATTTCTGCTTCTAAGACATAAAAGCTGAAATCCAGATTAAAAAACCCATTTTCATCTCTCAATGTCTTACTTTTCATCTTCTATATTTAGAAGTTGCGCAAGTTGTCCATTTTTGGCAAATTTTTAAAGCAATAATAATAAAAAAAGTGAATGTAGTAAAAATCCAGACTTCACAGGAAACATGGAAAATTCATTCTTCATTGTGACCAAAAACAGAAGACGAAAAAGTTTTTTTTTTAAAC